CCCTCCCTCCGGCGCTTCCGCCCGCCCACCGTCGGGCCTGGGCCTCTCTCTCAGTGCGCGGGGAAGGGCGGCTCCTTCTCCCCAGGCACTGTGCACGTCCCCCCTTACTTATGCTTTCTCATGTGCTTTTGTGACAACCCCACAAGTTCGGCTGAAAGGAAGAGAAAGGGAGGGGGATCGGGGTGAAGGTTAGTGACTTTCCAAAGTCGCGCTGTTGGGAGGGAGAGCAACCCCGCGTTTGAACCTCAAAGCCTGTTCTGTTTTGTCTACCCGGAGAAGGAGCTGACTAGCGGGCTGCTGGGCGCTTTGTCCAGAGATAAGGGAGAGTGTGAAGGGCACACCAGGTCAGGGCATCTGGGTTCTAGCTCAGAGTTGTGGGCTTTGGGCGTTTGCCTTGTTCTTTCTATGCTTCCGTTTCCTTGACGATAAGGGGAGGTGGTTGGACTGAATGGGCTTTGAAATCCCGTGATACAGTGTGGAGGGAGGGAAACTGAGGCAAGGATGGCTCCTTGATGATTTTCCAGCTGCCAGGCAAAGCTTATGGAGGATGGTTGGCAACTGGGGCCCCTCCAGTCTTCCTGGGGCAGCTGGCCCACCAGTGCCAGAGGAGAAAGGAGGCTGGCTGCCTGTCTCCCCCCAAGCCCACATCAGCTGGATGAATGAGTGTTCATCAGCCCCCAGTCTGGGTCCTGGGGTCATCCTCTGTTCTTGGCCCTAAAGTAGGGTCTCGTGTGTGTGTGTGTGTGTGTGTGTGTGTGTGTGTGTGTTTAACCTCTGAGTCTCAGTTTCCACATCTGTAAAATGGAGTTAATAAGTAGCATCTGCTTCAAAGGGCTCTGGGAGGAATAAGATAATGTGTGGAACGCACTTAGCCTAGAGCCTGGTACATAGCAAATGCTCAATAATGGCTCACTGTGATTAATAATGAATGGAGTGCCAGATTACTCTCACGTTTCCAAGAGAGCACCTGGACTTGGGGGCAGCTCAGTTTCTGTAAAGCTGGCATCTCTGTCAACCCAGGGCCATTTGGATCTTAAAGCTCAGGGAGGTCTGGGGGCAGCTGCTTGGGATTGCTCTTAGAACCAGCTCCCCTGCCCACCACCCTTTGTGTCACCCTTTGCCAGGGACCTGGACAGCTGAGCTGTTGAGTTGCCATGCCTGGGACATCTGTGCCCCAGCAGGGTGAGAACAGATTGTGCCCGCCAGCTCAGCCAAGGCAGCCAGACCACAACTCACCTCGACAGCTGGGCAGGCCCCGAGCCAGAGCCACTTCTGCTCCTGTCCTTTCCTGTCCCCCAGGCTGGTGTTGCTCAGTGTATGAAGGAGGACACAGCACGATGGATGGGGCTCGACAGGGAGTGGGGAGCAGGGACCTGGTCCCAGCATGAGCACATGATGACTCGTGACTTTGGGCAAATCCCTTTCCCTCTCTGGGCTCTCCTACTTCGTCTGCACTCTGAGGAACTGAGCTAGAAGCTATTAATTTCCACTCTGGCCATCTGCCAGGGCTGCCCTCAGGAGTTCAGGAGAGTCTGGGCGTGAAAGTACCTTAGCACCTGTGGAGCTTGAGACAGATGGAGTGGTGATGGGATCTCAGGGAACAGGCGGCCTGAGGGCGCAGTCCTGAGGATTGGGCCATCCCTGTGGGGTCAGGCAGCCAGTATCCACTGTCAAGGGACCCCCCCTCCACCAATATGGCCACCTTGTCCCAGACGTTCATAGGCTGTGACTTCTTTGGGTCCACCATCCCTTGGGAAAAGCCAGTGCCCAGCTGTCGGGATGCCTCACTACCCACTGTGGCCACCCGCAAAGCCCCAGCTTGAGGGAGCAGCACATGCCTTCCCCCTTCTCTCGCTGAACCCTGCAGCAGCCTCTCTGAAGCCCCATCCTCACCCCAGCACCTTTGCCACACAGTGTTTTTCACGAGCTGCCTCCTCAGGCCTCTCCTGCCCCAACCTAAGTGCCCTCAGGACCCAGCTTTGGCCAAAGTGACAACCTCTTCCCCTTCCCTCCTCCTGTTGAACTTTGTTACTTTCAAGCAAGTGGCACATCCAGACTTAACCAGAGGCTCATATCAGGGGCAGAGCCTCATGTCCCACCACAGCCCCTCCCCCGTCCAGGGCAGTCCCCACCTGGCTGTGCCTCGCCTTTGGGATCAGATGCCTCCAGAACTAGCCCTCATTCCTGCCACAGGTTGAGGCTTAATCACAATAAGCTCTTACCCTTCAGATACATTTTGAACAGAATACTCAAATGCTTCTTAGAAGGTCATTATTATGACGCTTTCCATTTTACAGATGGGATCATGAAGTCTGGAGACGCCTTGGGCTTTTCTGACTCAGCATTCGTTTCATGCATAGGAGCCAATATATCACCCCAGAAAGGGTGACCTGGGATAGGAGGCCCCTAGAGGCAGACAGTCATTTTGGGGCCTCAGCCTCAGGCCCTCCTCTGAGCTGGATACAGCAGAAGTGGTGACAACAGGACCGCCATGATCAGGGAGCAGATGCTCTCCAAGTACTGGGCCCTGAGGCAATGCCCCGCCCCCTCTGCCTGTCCTATTGTCACTGGGTGAAAGGGCAGGGGAGCTGTGAGGACCTGCTGACGTGGGTGCCCTGCTTGGAGGAGTGCCAGCTGGGTGGAGCCACTCCCAGGGGGCCCCGGAACTTCTGGGAAGTAAGCAAGAGTTTGGCAAGACCAGTCTGCCTGCCAGCAGGCCAGCTGCCTGCCTGGTCCTTGCCCACATCAGGCCTGGCTCCACAGAGGGTGTTCTCTCTCTCCTCTTCCCTGACCAGCCCCGAGAGTCTCTGGGTGAGGCCTCTGTCTGTCTTTGTGTGGCACCACACTCAGAGGCTGCTCCCTGGGGCTGATTCTCTGAGGATCCTCTCTTGTAGTATCCGTTGGACTAAGCAACCAGGACTCATTCCCCAACCAGGTGGCTCTAGCTACTGCCTCCCAGAACACTGACTGGGGCTATTCCCACACCCCAGAGAAGGGGCTAACTCCAGGCTCAGAGAAGGAAAGCAGCCTGTTTAAGGTCACACAGCTAGTGAAAGGCAGAACTGGGACTATAATCCCAGGATACTTGGTTCCAAAAGTAATGATCTGTCCACTGCACTCTGTCCCAGGTATGACCAGGGTTATACCTTTCATTCAACCAGGGCCCAGAAGCTTCTACTTGGGAGCAACTCAGCTAAGAGATGGCCCTGGGACCTGACTGGAGGCACAGAATTCACCTGAGGACACCAGGAAGCTGGACACAAAATGTTATAATCAGTATAAATATTTCAGGGCAGCAGGAAAGCTGAGAGGTAGGACAGAAACCTCTGGGCCTTGATTCTTCTGTTGTCCTCCCAGAATCACCAGGGAGCTCAGAAACTGGCTGAACTGAGACATGAAGTAGAGGCGAGGGCAGGGCAGGGGAGGGTCGGGTCTGGCCCTCCCTGTTGCTGGTGTTTCACTCCCTGTGGCCTATTTCCTTCTAGTCAAAGCACAGCTAGCCACTCTGAGCCCTTGGTAATGGCCTTGGCTGGACTGGGCTTGGCTGCCTGCTCCCCACTGGCCTCTTGTGCCTGCCTGACCTCCTACCCCTGGCCTACCTGGCCTCAAGGCCAGGATGTTGGCCACAGCCTTGGGTGGAGGAAAGAGCATGGGGCTGGGAAGCAGGATATCTGGGGTCTGACCTGACTCTGACCAAAGCTAGTTTTGTGTCTTGGCAAGCCTGTTCCCCATTTGGGGCCTCTGTTTTCCTCATCTGTGGCATGGGAAGATAGGGAAAGACATGAGGGTTCCATTGTTTTTCATTGCTATAGCTGCCCTTTATTATTTTCTCTATTCACTGACTCATTCATCATGTCAAAATTTTGAAAAATTTTCATTATTGAAGTTCCATGTGTTGATCAGTGCAGTGTGGGTACTACCCTAGAGCAGGCATTGAATAAATCATTGTGAGAGTCATAATTAATTTATTTCCCCATCAAAATTAATTAAGACCATATCTGCCAGTCAGAACTTCTGATTAGCATGAGATAATTGGCTCTGTGAGGCTGCATTAAGTTATTGTTGTATGTTTGAAGTACTGAAAGTGGAGAGGAGACCTCTGCAGCTTAGTGGAATAGATAAGAGCACAGATTCTGGAGCCAAACAGCTTCCAACCTCAGCCAAGTTACTTAATCCACAGTGCCTCAGTTTCCTCATCTGTAAAATGGGAATAATGAAGTACTTACTGCATAGACTTGCTATGGGGACTTGAGGGGTTAGTAGGCGTAAAATGCTTACAACACTGGGACCAATAATTCTTTGTAATTATTAACTATTGATATGAATACTTGGGAAAACACCAAGATTAGATGGTCTTAAACATTCTATATCAGTGTTTCCCAAAGTTAATTTTCTGAAATGCCAGTTCCATGGAATGTCATTAACTGTTGGATGAGAAAAAGTTTGCTTGGTAAGTCAAACTGGGAAAATACTGAGTGTAACAAGATTGGTTGATCAAAGTGTAGGCTTTTTCAGAGCCATACATGTGTTAATGTGCAAGGTCAGTCAAAGTTGGGAGAATGTGCTAAGTTTTCCCACTTACTTGACCAAGGAGAGCTTTTATCATAGTGTACATTGCTGGACAAGTGTGCCTGGGAGCACAGCTTGGGAAACACTTCTCTGCAGCCTCAAGAACCTCTAAGGTCCTTCCTCCAGGTCTCTGACATTGAGATTCTCTGATCTCCTCTGGGTGGCCCAGCCCTTCTGCAGATTAGAAACCACAGCCCCTGGCAATGAGGCTGTACCCTGTCTCCCTGCTGACCTAGTTATCTAATGTAAATAGGCACTGGATAGGCTAATGTTTGTCCTGAGAGAAGATGGATGAGGGATCTGTGGCCTGAGGTGCCCAAAGGCTGTGAACTCTGGGTTGATGCTGGGAATGGGAGCAGGGCCTGACCTGGGGAACTGCCTGGGCCCAATGGGGCAGCCAGAGAGAAGTGTGGGCGCGGGAGACAGAGGCTGCTTCTGAGGCGGCTGCAAGGCACAGAGAAGGCCCCAGAGGAAGGCGCGGCTCCCCTGCCGGGCTGTTGAGGGCAGTGGGACTCAGAAGGGCCCCTAGGAAAGGGCCCGGAAGGACCCTGTCTCCTCAGGGGCCTGAGGCACAGACAGGGAGCCGCCCCTTGGTCTGGAGATGGCAGCAGTGTGGAGCCAGGAAGTGGGGCTGAGGCTCTGAGGGAGCCTAATGGGTGTGTTAAAGGAGATGAGGCGGAAGGAGCAGCAGTGCCAGCGTGTGCCCAGGTCCTGGAGGGAGGAGGGAGAGGGCTGCTGGCTCAGTGGAGACGGGAGGAGGGCACAGGTGCTCTCCTTCTTCCTGCAAGATCCAGCTCTGACACCACCTTTTCCAAGAACCTCTGGAAACCTTCCTGGCGCTGGAAGAGACTCTCTCTTTGCCTGTCTTTGGGCACTCGTGTCCACTGAGGAGTCCTGCAGGACTCCTAGCTCCCAGAGGGTCGGTGAGTCCCCTCAGCGTCCAGCCTTATGTTTGACCTTAGGGAAAATGGAGGAGAGAGCTGTGGCCTGAGGCTCTAGTGGAGGCAGCTGCTCCGCAAGTGCTGTTCAACCCAGAAGGCCCTGGCTCGGAGGGAGTCTCCAGTCTGTGATGGCGATGAAAAACCTTGCCTTAGACACCCAGGAGGGGGAGGGGATGCCCTTGGCAGGAAGGCCTTTGGTGACTCATAGCTCCTGTCCTTGTTGTGGCCCCTAGTCCCTTCAAAATGAGGTCAGCCTCAAGGCCCCAGAAGGAATCTCCCTGCCCCAGGCAGGGCCAGGCCCCTAGCTAGGCCTGGGAAACCACCATGGCCTTATGGAGCTGGAGTGTGGATAGGACCACTATGCAGAACAGGGTCTGGA